GAAAAAAATATATATATATATATATACACACACACACACACACACACACACACACACACACACACACATTTGACAGTACATAGTGCAAACGATTAATCGCGAATAATCACATCCAAAATAAAAGTTTTTGTTTACATAATACATGTGTGTGTACTGAGTATATTTATTATGTATATATAAATACGCACACATACAGCATATATTTTGAATATATTTACATGTATATATTTATATTCATATAAATTATATCACATATAAATATATTTAATATATAAACGTAACATTTTTTCTTAAAAATATACATACATGTGTGTGTATTTATATAAAGTACACACTCATATATTATGTAAACAAATTTTTTTATTTTGGATGCTATTAATCCCGATGTAGTGACAGCACTAATATACACACACACACACACATACATACATACATACATACATACATATATATATATATATATATATATATATATATATATATATATATATAAAATAGTTATCTATATTAACACTCTCTCTCACATGTGTGTGCATTTGAGAGAGCAAGAGATAATATATATAAACTATAATATAGATAATTATATAATATAAATTACTTATTCAGATAAGTAACATTTTACACATTTCAAATGGGACAGTTCAAAAGTCATACTCAGTTTGCTTTTCATCAGAACACCCTGAGTCTAATTCTGTCTCACATTCATGTACTTCCAAAAATAGACTGTGCCAACCCCTCACATTCAACTACTGGACATTCCAGAGGCTTCTGCAAACACTGCAAAAACTAACTAATGGCTGTAAGAATCAGATGTAGGCAGTATTTGTAAAATATAAAACAGTTTTTACGTTTTCTGTGAGATGATATGCCATTCTCGATTCAAACATTTCTAAATCTGTTTTTATATGGCGTTTGCCCGCACATTGAGACAGAATATTAAATAGTTTAAAATGATCAAGTTAAAGTATATAATGGTCATAATGCTGATATCTGTAATCAGTAACATAATCTATATACTTTTCCCCCACACATTTATGCATTTTAACCCAATTAACATCTAGATGAATAAATATGAAGTTGTAAAATAGAATTTCATCTATCAAGAGACACTTCATACAGCTATTTTAACAAAAGGGCGAAAAAAACGTGTGGTTTACACGCTGTTGCCGACATGCACGTGTTACATACCAGTGCCAGTTATTGACATTTGTCGCATCTGCTCTTTCTTCCACAATCCAGCGCGGGTCTCCCTCTCCCCATTTGGCCATGACAGAATTTAGGTGATTTAAAGGAATTGAGATGTTCCGATAAACTGCGGATGCCGGATAGTACCGTAGGGATTGACAGATGTAAATTCGTGAATTACACAATAAACGTATGCAGAAGGAGCCCAGCTGATTTGCTGCGTCGATGGTAGCATAAATATTCATGAGCTTATACAGGACCAGTGAAGGACCGAACGAGTATGCCTATATAAGACGCACAAAACAAATCTCTTAAGGAAATCCGAAGGAGGCAGGGAGGAATAGTCAAGGAGCAGTCGAGAGGTTAGTTGTCCGCTTAACTAGCCGGCAGCTGTCCTCCTAGACCTTTATTAAGCCCCCATAGAAAGTCCCAGAACCGGAACTGGGTGAAGAAGCTTCCTTTAGAAACCAGAAACTTGCGGACCTTCTTGGCCAGAGATCCTCATTACCTAATTAAAAAAGGAAGAAGAAGAAACCCTCCTTAAACCTCAACTTTCGACTGTATACCAGCCATAAATCTCATTTCTCAACTGGACTGAGCTCCCTTTTTGAAAAACAAGAGCGCTTAATTGTTTTGAATGTGCATATCTTAAATGTGCATTTAATCTTAGTGTATTTATATCTTAAAAGTATAGGCTATATGATAAACAACTCTACTTCAACTGTACTACACGTGTACTTTATTATACTTATAATTGAGTACTTGGTCATAATTTTAATTATAGTGTTTTTTGATATTGCACATTACAGTTAATATATTTTAAATGTTGGCCTACTAAATTGTAGCTTCATTACAAATCCGTAATGACAAAATATATTCAAATACAGTGGTGTGAAAAAGTGTTGGCCCCCTTCCTGATTTCTTATTTTGTTGCATGTTTGTCACACTTTAATGTTTCAGATCATCAAACAAATTCAAATATTAGTCAAAGATAACACAAGTGAACACAACATGCAGTTTTTAAGTGAAGGTTTTTATTATTAAGGGTAAACAAAATCCAAAACTACATGGCCCTGTGTGAAGAAGTGTTTGCCCCCTAAACCTAATAACTGGTTGGGCCACCCTTAGCAGTAACAACTGCAATCAAGCGTTTGCGATAACTTGCAATGAGTCTGTTACAGCGCTGTGGAGGAATTTTGGTCCACTCATCTATGCAGAATTGTTGTAATTCGCCACATTGGAGGGTTTGAGCATGAACCACCTTTTTAAGGTCATGCCACAGCATTTCAATAGGATTCAGGTCAGGACTTTGACTAGGCCACTCCAAATAAAGGATTCAATAGAAATGAGATGACTAGACGTAGTCTGCTTTTTTATAAATAGCCATTCATATTTAGCAACATTACACAAGCTTACCATTGTAATGAAGAGCTACCAATGGTTTTATATATGATTACTTTGGTTTAATACAAATACGACAGTTAAACTTGTTACTATGCACAATGGTACATTTTCCTAGGGGAATGAAACACAGAAACCATATCCATATTACCCAACTTCAAAATTAATCTGTTTTATTTTTTATTTTTCGAAGCCACTAATGATTAAAGTGAGCCATCCAGAGGCAAAGGAAGACATTCCACCATGAGCTAACAGACCAAATTGAACCGCTTCCACTTGTTATTCTTTTCCACATAAAGCAGACAGAGAACAAAACTCCTCCCTTAAACTAAAATGATTGGTCAGGAGGAGATCATAGCTCCTTGGGGCCTCACTAGGGGCGGGGCTTGGTGTGAGCACACACACATACCAGCTGTTGTCAAACTCTCAATGTAGCGTTCACCACTAGCACGGCTCTCCACGTGACGGGAGCTGTTTGCTTTAACTCTAATCTGGCTCTCTGGTTCTTCCCCTCCCCCTGTTTCTGCCCAGTCTTAATGGAGACAGCAGCTTGTGGCTCTTTCGCATTCGATTGCAGCAACTTAATGTTCAGTGTATGTTAATACAGGTCAAAAACCAAGGGCCTTGCTCTGGTCTACCACTGCACACGTTTGAGTAGTAACTAATAACTAAGTTGTGGTGGAAATGGCTCGTGATGAAGGGAAAAAGCAAACAAGTGAGACATCAGTTCTGCTCCACACGAGTAAGCTTGGACATTCAGAAATGGTCCTCGAGACATCACGAGAGGCATCCACAGACATCCACGATCAGCTTTTTGCAGTGTAGATCACAATGAAGAACAGCAAAGAGGAGATGTGGACCCACATTCGGGTAATGGCTTCTTTAGAGGACAGAGGATCATGCTAAATGCTCAAAAAGTGGCAAACAACCCACTTAAGGAGCGCAAACTCAAGCAAGTCTATGTGCGGGTCCACAGTGTGCAGTTCATCATCGGCAGTCTTCATTCTCCGTTGTAGGCACTATGTTCATACGAGGGATTTGACGGTGGCTGTGTCTGACAATCATGTACATGAAAAGTAGAAATAGCATTAAATTCCAAGTGATTAGAAAATATAGATCACTTTTTACACAAGCAACAGCTCGTTCTGAAACCAGAAACGTTTCGAAAAGAAGGTGTTGAATAGAAAGATCGAGACAAAAGCTTTTCTTCTACAGCTATAGCTTTGGACTGAGTCCTAACATTTGAGGAGAGGCCTTCCTGTGAACAGAGAGCCATATATAAAACAATCAGCAGTTTTGAAAGTTATTGGAGAGAAACCGTTCAAATACAGTTGTAACAACGACAGTCTTTGTATAGAGAAAGAGGTCTTGGTATCTTGAGAGGTAGTGTGAGTGCTGCATGTGCATGACATGATCTGATTATCATAATTACTGACAGTAAATGTAATGCTTCAGAATACAGTGGAGATCATACATGTCTTTTAGCTCATCAAAAGCTATGGAGCGTTCATCATGATCCACTTTTCTTCAATCTCCTCCTTGTTTTAAATACAACTGAGTCACTATCCAATATAAATAAGTGTCAATGGTAATACTTTGTATTTGTTTCCAAAGTCCCTGCATATTCATATCTTGGTTTGCTTAAATCTGAAGGATGGCAGCGTAAGCTTGACCATCTGAAAATTTTTTAAAATGTGCATTTATCCTACAGTGAGAGTGTGTCAGGCAGTTTCCTTTTATCATATATAAATATATCAGTCCTTTGCATAAAAATAGATCAAATGTTTTTTTTTGTTTGTTTTTTTTAAAGAAAACACATTGTATTATTCATTTCCCATAGAAAACATTGGGATGGCTGAATGAGGACACTGTGGTGCGAGCCTTGGTTCAGGAGCGCACCAGGATCTCCATGATGTGGTCCAGGTCGTTGATGTCTGAGAGACAGAGCTGTAGGCTGCTGTTGGATGTGCAGCAGGAAACGGTCTTGAGGCCATCGTCCACCCCGCTGCTTCTCTGCGCAGGAAACGCCAGGACCGAAATGTCAGAGTCGTCGTACATCGACGTGTCGATGTCTTCAAAGATGTCATCCAACGGCAAGTCTGTCAAGTAGCTGGTGGAATTAGTAATCTCAAAAGAGCTGAAAAGCGAATCCGACGATCTTGTGTCGTCCTCACCAGCAAGGGATGGCAAAAGTGTCTTGTTTTCAGTGCCGCACAACTGGACCTCCTCATCCTCAGCCGTCATGAGGGGGAATGAAGGGGACAGTGCTCCGGTTAGGGGTGGAGGACAGTATAAGGGCACAGGTGGCAGGTCGGGGAAGTGGCGTGGGGTGGAGGCGAGAGGGAGCGAGGGGCCGAGAGGGGCTGGTGGCAAACATGTTTCCCCCTCCTGTCTCATCTCCTGCTGAATCTGGCGGAGGGTGTTGGCCAACAGGACCGAACGGTGCAGGCTAGGTTCAGCTCGCCGTTGGCAGCTTTGTAGCTTGTCTAGACACAAGTCCAGCACCAGCTGCCTCTGCTGAGGATATGGCAAGTCCTGGGCAGGGTCCTCACATGTGCTCAGCTTACGTTTCACCCCCCGGCCCAACATGTACCTTGAGATGAGAACAGAAAGGGAAGTTCAGAAAAACAGAACAGGAATGTTTCTTTCGCTGAACTACCTTGCAGTGAAATTAAATATGATATTACTTGCAATTCAAGCTTTTTAAGCTTCATCCAATAACATATTTTGCAAGAACACATCAGAGGGATGTAATGCACCACCAACAATAATGTTTTTTTTCCAAGTAAGTCCCACTGCACAAGCCTCTCTAGATTGCCGAGCTCATCTCCGAATAAATCAACAATCAAACTTATTTCATAAGTTTTTAAAAAAAAAAAATATTTTCAAGAAAGGTTTCAATTTAGTGACTTAAGTGGTGTAAGCGAAGTAAATAGTAATATTTAAAATAAACATTTTCCTTTCACACTGAATAGATCTTAGTCAGGGTAGCACCATATTTAATTTTTTACAGGAATGATAAAAAGGGTTTGAAAAAAAGAATTGAAGTGTGTTCAATGGATTATGATGTTGTTTAACAACATGCCAGTTGTTTAGCTGACAAAACGTCTTTGCAAAAAACCTTCAGTAGACAAAACTCCACTTTTTTTTTTTGTAAAATGCTTTTGATCTACATGGTGCATGCCACTGTGAAGAATTTAAGTCTATCCCTCACAGCCTTATTTTCACACATACAAATTCAATATTGTGTATTCTAGGGTTGGGCGATGTCTACAAAACTGGCATCGGACGATGTCTACAGTGAAACATCGCGATGGACGATGACATCGGCGGGGGTGGGCCCGAAGTGTGAATCCTTATCAGGGAAAACACGATTCCTAATACCGTGTCTACACCGGACGCGAGTGGCGTGGCGCGACAAAATACTATAGAACCACCGATCTATAATTGAGATTTATTATATATAGAACTCATTATAATCAGTGATGCGGTCTACACTGAATGCGACAAATCCCTGACAGTAACCTGCTGCCGTGTTCCATTTAGAAAAAAAGAATTGAAGTGTGTTCAATGGATTATGATGTTGTTTAACAACATGCCAGTTGTTTAGCTGACAAAACGTCTTTGCAAAAAACCTTCAGTAGACAAAACTCCACTTTTTTTTTTGTAAAATGCTTTTGATCTACATGGTGCATGCCACTGTGAAGAATTTAAGTCTATCCCTCACAGCCTTATTTTCACACATACAAATTCAATATTGTGTATTCTAGGGTTGGGCGATGTCTACAAAACTGGCATCGGACGATGTCTACAGTGAAACATCGCGATGGACGATGACATCGGCGGGGGTGGGCCCGAAGTGTGAATCCTTATCAGGGAAAACACGATTCCTAATACCGTGTCTACACCGGACGCGAGTGGCGTGGCGCGACAAAATACTATAGAACCACCGATCTATAATTGAGATTTATTATATATAGAACTCATTATAATCAGTGATGCGGTCTACACTGAATGCGACAAATCCCTGACAGTAACCTGCTGCCGTGTTCCATTTATGACGTCCTGACACAAATTTCAAATGATTTTCAATGGTCGCTTTGTCGCGTCCAGAGTAGACAGACTTTAGCTGATGCGGCACAACACAACAACTGTCGCGTCCGGTGTAGACACGGTGTAACGGTTGCCTGCTACATCCTACAGTACATAAAATTTCGCTTACCACATAAACAGAGTAAGGAAAGATGACTGAGGACGATGGCAAATGATTTGCAGATCCTCGGTACCACTGACAAACATATAGTCTTGTAAAATGTGTGGCAAGTACTGCCGCTCCATAGTATAAACAGAGTACGTGCGATCGCGAATCTCGAAAGTGAAAGTGAAACTAAAAGCGATCGTGCATTCAAAAGCACAATGCCAGTTTCAATGCCAGGTATAATAAAAAAGTTAATCCCTGATGCCGAAATATATATGTAGTATAATTACCCAATTATATAACTGCGAGGAAAAATATTGAAATATATATTTTCCTCCCATTTCATATATATTCCTTTTAGGGGAACTCATTATTTTCTTTCTGAACACGGCATTGGGATGAGAGGGATGAGAGGGAATGTGGGGGGGGAAATCACGATACCGGCTCAACATCGTGATGTTTATCAGCCATCGGCGATGGACCACGAATTTAACCACCCGTAACTCCCGAACCCCGGGGGCTATCCACGCGGGGATGGTCTCATTCGAAAGAGGGCCTCCAAACGTACACTCGATTCGCGTTCAAAAGGGTTCCTCGAGCTGAAGGGATCCCCCGAATTTGGTGCAGAATAGCCACGCCGTTATGGAGATATGGCCGTTCAAAGTTCCAATGGTTTTCCATTGACTTGAGCTTTAAAGCGTTTCATCCAGGTTACCAGTAGCAAACAATGGAGCGCGCTCTGCTGGACAAACTAAGTAATTACACCATTTCAAGCATTTTATCTGCATTATAGGTTCTGTAAAAAAAAAAAATTTCATATCGGCGGCATATTCGCCGATACCGATATATCGGCGGCAGGCTCATATCAGCCGATAATATCGGTAAAAATCCACCCACTCATTGTTTTATAATCCCAATAAATCATAAACAGTCTCTCCACACTAGCAGTTCCACATTTCTCACTACTATGATGTCATACTTGGGGAAAGTCCCGCCCATTTGTGACGCCCTCTGCCCTATTAGCATATACACAGCCCTGAGTGAGAAGCAGTGGTCTGCCATTACCGTTTTCTTGCTGTAGCTGCTGGAGATACAATGTCAGTGCCAAAGAGCCATTAAAAGTGTCGTGTGTTGGGATGCACCAACGAACATAAGAGTCTCCATAGACCGTTGAGGAAATGGTTAAATTTCATTTTCGAAGGAAATATCCCAGAAAAATCCTATACGTTAGTGCTAACATTTTACGCCGGACTGCCTCACAAACGAGGGTCAGTTCAGTGCTTGAGTTGTGCAAACATCCAGACTCCAGACAAAGTAAGCATCATGAGTCATATTTTGTTTGCCAAAAGAGCTTCTTGGCTCTCTGTAAGGCTAATGTTGCTAAAGCTACCATTGTCTCTGCCTGTTTTCACTAATGCTGCCTTCACGTGCTACCAGAATGATCGTAAATAGGAAGAAATGTGGTAGTTAAAAATTGCATTTGAAAGCAATGTGAGGTCAGTAACACGGCCACCACCAGTTAAACCGTAACATCGGTATGCCCACAAGCATGAGCTCTTGAAGCTCCGCACTCTTCTGAAAAGGGAGGCAGGAGCACCAGCTCATTTTCATTTAAAGGGGACAAACACAAAAACAGCACGTTTTGGCTCATACCCTAAAAGTGGCAAGCTATACAAATTATTTGTGGTGTATTTTGAGATAAAACTTCACATACACACTCTGGGGACATCAGAGAACAATTTAAAATATTGTATCAATGCATTCTATGGCACCTTTAAAGTGACAGCGGGCTATATTCCTGCTGCCGACTGTGTGCTTAATATTAATCAAACAACAAAAGACAAAGACAAATTCACTCACTGCTCTTCACAGAAGGTCTTTTGTAGCTTTAATAAAAAACAAAAGAAGTTTAATTCTTACAGTGAAGACTATGCAGTTTTATTTTACATTTGACCATTCCATTTCCATAGTAGGCTGTTAACTGAATACTTTAGACTTGCATTAAAAAAATTTTTGTGGATACATGGCCCACTAATAATCGTGTTAAATAATTGTGATTACAATATTGACCAAAATAATCGTGATTATGATTTTTGTCATAATCGAGCAGCCCTAGGCTAAATACAATTTTTAATATGTTTTTGAAAAGTCTCAGCATCTCATTTTACAACTAACCTTGCTTGGTCATAAAAAAGGTTGAATTATCTGATATTATAAGACGGTGTTAATACTTGACATGTTTCTGCATGTTGGTTGGATCACATGAGATTGCATCCATGTTCTACTGACTCCTGCAAAGTTCACTGTGTGGTCTGCTCCAGTTATTAACTTTGCAGGGAATAAACCAATGGCGAATTTAACAGCATCATGACCATCGTCTGTGCACACAGAGACTATTGCTGAACTCTGTTCTTGAGAAACACTTCGCCTTTAAATTTGACTGTTATCTGATACATGACTGATAACGTGAAGCTTTAACCTGACACAGCTCTTTCTTCTCCTCCTCCCAAAGCGGGACTTCCTGAGAGGTGGATGCATTAGCTCAAGCTCCTCCTGGCTGCGACTGCATTACACTTGAGAATAAGCTCATGCTTCGTTAACGCTCCCTTCTCACAGTGGAGGAGGATACGCAGCATAGGAGTGCAATGCTTACTGCTGCAGCTTCTATCCCGTGAGCGATTCTTACAAGCAAAGACCTCCTTCAAGATACACTTTTAAATTCCAAAAAGGTTTTTCTGCAGCAATGCCATTGAAGGACCTTTCAGTGAACAGTTCTTAAAAGAACCAGTTTTTCTTAGTATGAAGAACAATTTTAATAATCTAGAGAACCTTTTCCACTATAAAACCTTTTGTGCAATGGAAAGGTTCTTTATGGAACTATGGACCTGTCATATCTAAACTATAAAGGAAGTAGCCATTTTTGAGCAATGAAAAATAGTTTTCTAAAGCAGTGGTTCTCAAACTGGGGTACTCCGACGGAGGTGATGGAGAGGGGTATGCAAGCAAAATTCTGAGTTTTGGCATTCATTTAATTCTACCCCAACTCAAAGTAACATTAAAACCGAACATGTCTTTCTGACAAGCAAAATGCCACTTCTAATGTAAAAACAGGAAAATGGGAGTGCCGTAAACGGTCAAATACATGATATCCAATCAGCTTACCTCATCTTTTGCGTTCAAAACCAACAGCATCCACACAAGCAGCGTGCATGTGATTGGAAGCCCGCTGAATATGTTGCTTTAGCAAATCACGCTGCTGCACGAGCAAGAACGCAAATTTCCCTGAATATCCAAACGATGGCAAATGTGACATTAAATTTTAGAACAGTTCAACAAAAAAGGTAATATTAAGTGAACATTTTACATTAAAATGTAGCTTACATTTTAAACAGAAT